CATCCATCCATCCATCCCTCTCCCCTACCCCCTTCCTCTCTCTAAAAATATCCTTGGGTGAAGATTTTAAAAAAAGAAAGAATAACCCTCTCTACCACTATATCCCACCCTAGTGTTAGACGGTATATGTCCCTTCCTTATTCCCTGGTAGGAAAATTTCAAAAAGATAATCATCTTTCAAGCTCTCTGATGCTGTCTTATATAGTTGAAAGTACTTATGAGAAGCCCTTTATCTAAGAATACTTCCAGAATTTCTTATTACCTGCTTTTGAATAAGAAATGGAGAAAAGTCACAATTAATTCTTTATAATAAAATACACTTCATAGAAGTTATTTCAATAGAGTTAATAGTTTTTATCTGTTACTGAGAAATCCATACTTTCATAACTAAACTAGAAAAGTCTTAATAGTTTAAGGATGGATCATCTCTAAGTTAGCCAAAAAGTACCAAGAAAATAGAGACTTTTTAAACAAAATTTACTTCTTTCTTAATGTAAAATAGTCCAGGGTTTGTACAGGAATTAATTTTCTCAATAAATAGATTAAAAGTATTCTCTCTTCCTCTCCCTCCCCCTTAAACCAAATTAGCCATTTTTAAAGACACTGGATTCTAATTCAACTAAATCGTGACTATCCTAGTCCAGTCTCAGTCCTGGGACAGCTAGCCCCAGGAACAGATGGTTTTTTTCATTCACAGATAATTTTGTTTCAAACATCCTCAGTTCATTAACTTATAGTGACCATTCTTATGTCAGTGTGTTTTCTGCTCCTGCTTGAACCCTGCATGCTTAAGTCATCCCCTTCCCATATTCACCCTTAAATCAACAATTGTTTTTAAAAATATATCCTTATTGATTTCAGAGAGAGAAAAGGAGAGAGAGAGAGGGAGAGAGGGAGAGAGAGGGAGGGAGAGAGAAACATCAATGATGAGAGAGTCATTGATTGGCTGCCTCTTGCATGTCCCTGACTGGGGATCAAGCCCTGACCGGGATTCTAACCTCAGTTGCCTGGATCCTAGGTCAACACTCAACCGCTGAGCCACGCCCAGCCAGGCTAAATCAACAGTTTTGCTCTACGAGTGAGCCTGATGTGAAATCAAAGAAGGCTAATATTAGTATATACTTTGTGGTGGTAAAGCAACTGCTCTGTCATAGATGTGGGTGGATACGTGCAGAGAATCTTCTTTGAACTGTTTCTTCATCTTTAAAAAGCTGAAGTGTTGGCAGCTGTGTAGCATATAGTGTCTTCTTTTCACACTTATTTAGAGTAACAGTTATGGGCAATATAAAAAATAGCCTACCTTGACATTTTAGTTGAATTTGGAAAGTCTTATCAAAAGGGTAATCATACTCCGTTATAAAACAGAACACATCAGGTTTTAGAGTTTTGCAGGTGTTAGTTTTTCTGCTTAGCTGCTTTAGTTCCAGAAGATCTTCATTGATCATATTCTCTTTATAACACCAAGTTACCAAGTAATATGGTCTTTTGTTATTCCTAATTCTGAAGGGGTTACAAGGTGAGACCTACAAAGCTAAACAAAAAGATCAGACACTAAACAAAGACATGATTGGAATTGGATGAACTCCCTGAAACACTGTTTCAGTTTCTAGAAACAATGCAGAATTGTAGGCCTCAGGTATCAAGCTCCACAGTGGTGCTAACCAACATCCTTGGGTCGGCCAGGATGGGTCAAAAGTTTAGTAATCAAGGAGGCAGGAGAGGTTTTGGATTTAGATTGGTGATATATGTGTACTTCAGAGGGGGCTTCTGGATGCAGGATGGAGGCACAATTAATGACAAACAACGAATGCGAAATTTAGTTCATCTACTGGTTTTAGAAGACTCAGCTGACACCAGAATTGAGCTGCCAGATACTTCCAGTGTTGGGTTCTTGAAAAAAGCCTCTCTCTCAGCTTAAATTTGTGATTGTCCACATTATTAGTTACTATACTTTGAAAATTATCCCTGTCACTGCTACCGTACTATTAATTGTCTTTGTATACATTATAACTTACATATCTGTGCCACGTAATGATGTTTCAGTCAACAGTGTTCCCATAAGATTATAAACTCATAATCTTTAATACTGTATTTTTACTGTACCTTTTCTATGTTTCGGTACTTTAGATGTTTACCGTTGTGTTACAGTTGCCTACCATATTCAGTACAGTAATATACTGTGCTGGTCTGTAGCCCAGGAGCAGTAAGCTATAGTAAATGGCCTAGGTGTGTAATGTAAAAGTCATTAATATGTGAATACATATTCTTTATTGTTGCTTACTTGAAATTGACTAAGGTAATATCTGCATTGGGATGCAAATGTTTTATGTCGATAAAACAGGGTTCCATATGCTTTGAAAAAATCGAGTTGAGAGAATAGTGTTAAAAAAAATACAGGGACCTAACCAAAATAGGTATTTGAACAGTTTGTCTCAGCATACTGAGGGGCTTCAGAGCTACCTGTGCTTCAGAGCTAGAATGTTCTTTAGAAAACAGGTCTATATCCAGTTCAGTGTACAAGTGAATGAATGATTGAGCCTCACATTCTGTTATAAAGTAGACATAATTGTTCTTGAAAAAGATAAAAAATAATCTTTTTATGAGATTATAAAACTTTCAATGAGCCAGCAGCCAACTAGAATCCTTTAATAATACCCATCTGTTTTCTGGGATTACTATTAAACATTCACAGCTTAGTTTCATAAATTACTGCTTTCTACAGATGGGAGTACAGATGTGTGGTTACTGAAGCATTTTTCTTAAGGTGATAGATTATTGAACTATATAGCTTAAGAATGCTCTTGAGTGTTGGCTCCAGAAAACTAGGCTTATAGAAAATAAATCGGCATAATGTTTAGATGTTATATTCAATAAACTGAGGAATTTGTAACTTTGGAGTAGAGGAATATCTTTTGCAAAACTATAGACTACATTCTGGTTCCGTTCAGCTGAAACATTTTCTGTAGGATTATAAGGAGATACAGGAACATAAAATTAATCTCAAACTAGTATTAACAAACTCCTTTTCTTCTTGCCTTATAAATTCATAGATTATCTACATTAGTTGTGAACCTTTTTATTTGTGCTACCTTTTTGGGTTACAAATCACTTTCTAAATTCATAAGTCCAAACTTTTATATTCACTTTAACAGTCTTTTGCCAGTCTGTAGACAACAGTCTGTTGTCTACTCTGAAATCTGTCTTGAATCAGTTCATCAAAGGAAAACTTTAATTCCCTAAACTGTTGAGCGTCAAATCTAACTGTAAAGATTGATTTTTGTCTTTCTTAGAGGTAGCATCCCACTTCATATCTACTGACCTTATACTGCATTCTTTTTTTTTCTAGTCTTCTGTCCCTGGGAATATCCAGGGAGATGGTTTCCACTGTAATCTGGTGGTTCTTATACTCTGAGGGAAACTAGATGACCTTCTTCTAATATAGTTCTCTCTCATTCATGTTTCCCAGAACCCAGTGAAGTTAGCCATGGTAGGTGTCACCTGTTTGGAACTAGTAATTTGTATATTCTATTTGAGGGTATAATTTTAGTAGGGCTTCTGCAGTTCCAGGAAAAATTTAAATGGTTAGTAGATTTTTTTTTTCAGGCCATCCTTTTGCCACAAATACTTTAGCCAGGAGGTTAAGTACATTGTGTTCTTTCAGCACCCTTTATAGACCTATATTTGTCTTGATCTAAGATGGGTTTACTGTAACAACTTTTTTTTGTAAGCCAGTTCTGGTATCGAATAATCCATTCATCTAGCCAGGACACTGTTCTGCTAACAGTGAGTTTTTGCTTCTTAGTGGCAGCCTTCTTTTTTAAGGGAAAGGTGGCCATAGTTCTGGTTCATACCTGTCTCTGTACTTAAGTGTTTGCTCAGAGAATCTTTTTTTTTTTTTTTTTTAATATATCTTTATTGATTTCAGAGAGAGGAAAGGAGAGGGAGGGAGGGGGAGAGAGAGANGACTTTTTTTTTTTTTTTTTTTTAATATATCTTTATTGATTTCAGAGAGAGGAAAGGAGAGGGAGGGAGGGGGAGAGAGAGAGAGAGAGAGAGAGAAAAACATCAATGATGAGAGTCATTGATCAGCTGTCTAGCCCGCAACCCAGACATGTGCCCTGACCAGGAATCGAACCCTGATCGGCTGGATCCTAGGTCGATGCTCAACTGCTGAGCCATGCCTGGCTGAGCTTGCTCAGAGAATCTTAATTCCATACAGCCATCATGGATTTGTAGTGTTTCATTGAACTCCATCTTCAGAACTTAGTAAGTTTATTTCTCTAAGGATACAGTATTCAAGGCAGGTAGCATGATATTAGTTTTAAATTTCTTTTCAGTCTGACCCAGCATGGGAATCAAGATAGGGAGAATAGCTTTTCATGGGTCTCCCAATCATTTTGGATGTTGGTTGCACATTCTACCCTTAAAGTGTAGGATCATAGAACGTACACCTTAGTGTACATGCTTCTATGCTTAGTTTGCCTAGCATAGAAGTCAGTTTCCTGATTTTTAGCTCTCATTGAGTCTTTATGAATGGGACTGTTGTTAGCAATATATTGATCCTAACATGGGATGGTTTGTGAAATATTTCGGCCAGTTTTTCAGAATTTTCTGTTAGGGAGCTTTAACAGCTCGAGTAGTTAGCTAGTCTAGCTTCTACCTGAAGAATACCCAGTCCTGAAAATAAATCCTTCAGATATGTTTTGTGAAATAAATTTTGTAAAACAAGTCACAAACCCAGAAGATTGTACTGCATGTTACAGAAATACAGTGTGTTGTTGAGGCTATCAGAAGGCATTAGTAAATAATTCTGCAGGTTTTTAAAATGACCTCCTTCGCATATGTATCTATACTTGCTGAAAATCATTTTCTAAAGAGAAATTAATAACATTATTTGAATGATTTGGATATTGTACCTCATTTATTAAGTTATTTCCTTCAATAGGCTGAAGACATGACTTGTTTGTTCTGTGTTAAATATATTGCTCAGGGGTGCACTTCTTATCTTATTACCATTTTAAATTGTTGCCCATAAAAGAATTATTTTAAGACTGATAAATCCTAACATGTGCTAACATATATTAATCTATTATTTTAAATAGAACTAACATACTAATAATACATCATTTTAAGATTTGTGTGAACTACTGTTTCCCTAAAAGAATAGGACTTGATTTGTTTGTCACTATATAATTGAACACAAATTGGACTTTTTATTTGCAGGAATTGAGGGAAGCAAGTCAGACATGTAAAACATATTTTCTTGCTACTTGAAATTATTTTTATGTTAGACTAACTTACAGATTTTACTAACACACATTGACTTTAATTATGTTTTTTTCTCCTTTTCTTCAAGATGATACTTGTTGATGCCACTGTTATCATCCTCCTAGCAGAAGATAGTCCTACTGAGAAAATGAGCACTTTGATCATTCAGTCTTTGAACTTTAACCTTTGACTGGAAGTGACCTATAGGCAATGAAGACTACTTCCTTTTACTGCATTTTTACTCGTGTGCATTCTGGGCGCATGTTGATCGCTGGTTCAGTCCAGGCAACTGACATGCTTTTATTAGTCATACAGTATTAATGCAGGTGTCAGGAAATGTCAAATATAATTCCATTTTTTATTTTTATTTTTTTAAGCTTTTGGAAAAGTTCCTGGTCCTCATGTATTGTGCAATAACAATGACTTCCTTGACGGTTTTGGGACGTTCATTGCCGGCAATGGACGTCATAACAGGAAAAATTTTCATTAACTCCTGCCACCCAGTGATTAATGCTTAATAGGGCCTATGAAATTAACTTAACGGTTCTAGTGGGATTATAAATAAAGTGAGGGATCCAACATTACTTTGAAAGTCACCCCAACTTGTTTCTATTTGGATTCTATGCACTGTGATCCTAAGGTTAACAGCATGAATTAACATGCATCTTTAAAGGACTGTAATGAAAGATCATTGCGTATTTATGGAATTGTTTATATCTGCTGTCAAATTGTTTTGACATGGAAGGTTTTCAAATAACATTGGCAGAGAGGTACAATATGTTATCCCTATGGTGAAAATAAATTCATTTGTTGTATATAGTTCCTCAATCTCTGAAGTAAAGGTATGAGTAATATAGGGTATGAATGGTTTAATCAAGGCTTTATTTTGGAAGAAAAATGGCAGTGATAATTAAACTGCTGCAGTCCGTAATTTGGGCTTGTTTGTACATTAATGATTTTCCAAGTAGAGTACATTCTGTTACTTCCTGCTAGCCATCAGCATGAGCCCTACTGCTTAAACACTATTTCATTTATTTATGTTTGGAAAACCCCAAAACATTTTTGTTTGCAATTTTGTTTCTTTTGTTATGTTTTAAGTCAAGTTTGAATGTTACAATAGTTTGAAAAACTTTTGTCAAGTTTTTTCTTGTAAATTTTCTTTACTTGTAAGTATCATCTTGTCCTTCAATCCTGTACCCTAAAATAAGAAATACATTTTTGACAGAGGCTTAATGTTTTAACAAAAGAGTGTGGACATTTTTATTTTAAAATTTAGGCAGAAGTACACTATAGAATGGTATGTTTGCTTATTTGTCTCACACAACCATACAGTTATTCCTGGAGTGATTTGGTTTTTGTTTTGTTTTGTTGTTTAAAAGACTTTGCTTACAGCTAGATAAAATTTTTCTATAGAAAAAAATTGTTGAAAAGTCCAATCTCAGTACCATGTAAGTTAATGATACTGCAACTAGGTTCTCTTTTTAAAAAGTGATTAATGTATTTTATAAATTACCTTTTCACATATGCAAAATCTGTTTCTACTACAATGTTATTTTTACTAATGCATATTGTTGCACTCTTTTGACATATCCTGCAGTGAATTTATGGATCAATTTGGGCTTAAAAATAAAAGCCAATTGGCTGAAAGGTTTGAAATATGTACCCCAGCAAAACCATCCAATCATTAATTGGCAAAGAATAGTTAAAAATTTGTTTTTAATCTCTGTATAGACAACATTTTGTAGCTTTGTACATGTTGTTAATGGCATATAATTTTACACTCTAAAGTATAATTGCTGAACTCAGGGGTGGGTAGACTTCAAAAATATGTCTGCTTTAGAAATAACTTGAAAAAAAAATTAAAACTATAGCCAGCCACCAAATTGTGGACACTGTTTATATTGCTAGTTAGCAACTACCACTTTTTAAAATTAAAACAAAACATTTTTGTTCTCTCTTGACTAGGCATACATAAGTTCTCACAGTAGCCTATCAATCTTACTAGATGGCCTATTTAACCAAGACAGAAAATGTTTTTTGGGATGCTTTGAACTACTATTAGTTTTTAACTGCCTTTTAATATGAAAATTGCAGTTGTAAATTATGTATTTTTCATATTTTACGTAACTGCTCTAAACTGATTTGACTTGATCATTTTCGGGGATTAGAATGGGTGAATTTCTCTTCATTCTGCTGGTCATCGTACTAAAATCCTTTTATAAAAAAAATGACCTGTGACATTTATTCACCAAAGGAATCAATATACCAGGTCAAAGATTAACAATGCTATACTATATATTAATAGGTCATATATAGCCTCAGTTGAGTTTTTAAAATATGAATAACAGTGTTTTAACATACCTCTCTCTCTACATGGAGACACCATAAAAATTAAAATGAAGCAGAGGATAGTAAAGGAAACCAAATAATTTCAGTACATTTTATGGTTTAAAGAGAAGAAATTAAGGCAAAATATCCTAAAATATAGAAACACCAACAATTCAAAATTTGCAATCAGATAATTTATTTCTCCCTTGATCTTAGGAATCATTGAAAAGTCCTTTGCACTTAGATTTAACGAGTTAATTTTAAATGTAAGTTACATTATTGAAAGACATACGACGTTTACCTGGGTCATTGCTCTAGAGAGGGCAGTTAATGGCTTTGTAATTATAAAATGACTTATTTCTCTGTGATAAGTTGTTGAAGGACAGCCAGGATGCCAAGAAAATGTACATAGGAACATGCACCTTCCCTCTTTCTTGCTTCCCTCTGTGGGGCACTGTCTGCTGCGGAGACCTACAGAATCCTGCTTTCATATTCAGACAACGTGTACACTCTCCTTTCTAATTTATTTATTTATTTATTTTAAGGCCATTCTTCTGGTTTGCCAAATTCTGTTTAGACAGTAATACATCAATTCCTTATTTTGCATGTTTAGACCAGGAACTTGGTGCCCTTTCAAAAAAAAAAAAATGTCAAGTAGGTACTAATGCCGTAGATTTTAAAGAGAGAAATGCTTTTCAGTTTTTTAAGATAAATTTTTAAAAGTAAATTTTATGGATATTCTCTTAAGGAATTTGATATTCACCCCTAAAGGACTAGACTTGTGTAAATTCTTCCTTTTAGGTAGCAGGGAAATAAAGGTTTTTTTCTTTAATCCCCAGGGGAAATGCTAAAAAATAGCTTTTCTATACAGTTCACCTGGAGAAAGATCTTAATCCTTATTGTTTTGACTAGATACACAAATATTTGGTATAAAGTAACTAGAATAGTTTATTACTTTCTCCCTTCTGAAATTTTAAATATATGCAATATTATATGTCATCAGATTCCTGTGGTGGATAATAACTTCTTCAGATTCTGAAACAGGTATCTAGTGGCTGTTTGATTGTTGCATCAAAGATGAACTGACAAATAATGGGAATGAGTAGTGATGTGAAAATGGTACGTAACCACATATTACTTGTTTCTGCTAATCAAGTCTTATTTTTTAAAAAGCCTATTGTTTTTGAGAATTGAGATATTTAAAACTTGTTAAAGCTTCTTCCTAAAAATAGAAGAGAAGAGGAGGTACTGTGTGTTAACATTTTTTTAAATAAAGAATTCGGTGTCACTAGTTCTAAGGCTTTATGGTTACTGCTGCTTAAATTTCTCAATCTCACTATTGCTTAGTTTTTTGTACATATTTTAGGTGAATGCTTTAGATTTATAATTGTGTATATAGGTTGGTTTTTATAAACAGCTCAGGCTTAACCATGTGTTTCTCTTCTGAGGATTCATTATCGTCAGAGTCAACTGCTCTGGTGTTCTGTGTTGGACTCATCCTTTCTTGAGTGCGATCTGTGAGGAGGGTGTCTGTCTTCTGCACCACTGGCCCTAGTCGTCTTCATAGCTGGTTTTGTTTTGTTTGTTTTTTATTCTTTTATTTTTCCCTTCCTCTCTCCTCACAGGTGTATAGTGTATCAGTCTTCAGCAGTTTCTCTTTCTGACTTCTCTAAGTTTCCCTCCCTTCCCCTTTCCTTTTCCTTTCCTTTAAATTACTTGTTTTGGTAAAAATGTCTTTCTGTTTAAGTTTCTAAGTCACTTTGAGATTTGGAACGTTTTTAAAAAAAATAATTTTTGGAGGACTTTTGCTTTCCCAGAATAAACTGTGCGTTCAGTTATCATTAGAGCCCCACAGAATTTAAACATGTCCTTCAAACTAGATCTCCCCCTTAAGTCGAAGTTCTGGTTCTATGGTACTGACTGATTTTAGTTCTAAAATGTTAGTATTGGAACATATATTTGGGGATGACTCTCCAGAATGTTTATAAGAATATGTTGTTTATGAAAAATATTTTGTTGATTAAAAAAATGTAACATCCAAAGTCATTTTGAATGTGTGGAAGGAATGCCAGACTAGAAAGAAGCTGGCATGTCTAACACACCTAAGGAGCGCCATCCAGCTTTGTAAGCCAAGTGTAGTGAGTGGGAAAAGGAAACAAGTTCTCATTCTGATTCTTGGCGCCTACCTGGCAGGTATTTGAGAAAAGTTTGTTACTGTAATACTTCTAAGGTGTTTTCTCAAAGGCGTGACTTCATAGGTACTGGGCTTTGGCTTGTTCACTGTGACATCACTTGTCAGATTTCCTGATGGAAATAGAGACCCAGGCACTTGCTTAGAGTTACCAGGAATCTGGTGTTGGTGAACTTCAAGTTGTATGATTAATAAGGACATACTGGAAAGATTAAATAATCCTGCCTGTAATGATAAAGCCCAAAACAAGTAAGCAATTTGGTAGATTGTGTCAGATACCATGAAAACACAAATCCCTTCATAGTTAACCACAAATTGTTTACATAAATGCAATGGATTGTCATGCTTGAGGTAAAATAATTATTTGAATAGGTTATTAATTTAATTATCTAGTAGCCAAGGATTGCGTGCATGTTTAAGTTGAAATGGATGTGTTGTTTTTAGTTGGTACCATTTTCTCAATATTCAGAAATCCAGATTTTTATTATTTTACTGTGTTTTATTAATAGGGATGGAAGCTTGCACATGAAGATTTGAATAGGGTGGATGTGTATATTTTATAAATCCAAGTTGTAAAATATGTAAAGCTATTGCTTTTTAAATAGAATATAAATGTTAAATGACAGGTAAAACCTATATATTATATATTTTTAAATACATGTATCAAACCTTTGTTAGTTGAATATAAGTTACATTGTGTGCTTCATGGAATTCAGTAACTTTTAATAATAAAGCAATTGCCATTGTTTTTTCTTCTGTAGACTTGAATACTAAATTGGAGATATACTAAACCTCATTATAGGTAATATAAAAATTTCTTTATATAGTAGTTCCTCTTTACAAAAGACTGATCTTTAAAAGATTGTGGAAACAATGTGTCCATTTCCAAAATGACACAGAGTGAAGGTAGGCATGAAAGTGGCTCGTTTATATCTGTCACAGATCCCCTTTGCCTGGCAGTGTGGCCTGGTGCATCTTAGTTCTTCTTTATGCTTTAATTAAGTCCTGATTAAAGACTGGCCGTTTTCAGAAAGATGGAAGTAGAGACCCAGGCACTTGCTTAGAGTTACAAAGGACTCTGGTGTTGGTGAACTTCAAGTTGTACGATTAATAAGGACATACTATAAAGGATTTCTGGATGCTTCCCTGAGTATACAGACCCGTCAGCTAACTTAATCTAAATGAGGGACTCCCGAGGCTGTGAGAGGAGAGAAGGAAGTGGGGGGGGGATGTCTCTGCATCTTAGCTATTCCTTGCAGGAGTAGATCCAGTGTGCTCTGCTGGTACTCTTGAGTGTTCTTTTCACAGGGGCCCTATTGCCCAGGAGCACTTCAGACCTTCTTGGGGCAGCCATCCTGCGGGAAGCTGTCTTACCTCAGCAAGCTGTTTCTGCATCCTAAACTGCCGGATGGGTAGTTGGCTAGATAAATGCAAGACCCATCTTCCTTTGTACTTTGATGCCACTCTCGTTGATTATTATAATCCTCAAAATAATTTCTACCTGTCAGATCCTGTGACCTCTCCACTAGTGTAAGCTTCTGTGGATGAGGGATTCTGTTGAAACCCTTCCTGTATTATTTAGTACTTTTCACACTGACATAACAGCAAAACCAAACATAAACTGAACTGAGGGGTCAGGTCAGATGACACAGCTGAGGTTTTTGTGTGCTTGGATAATATGGCCCAAGGCCACAGTGGTTCTCTATCTGTCCTGTTGGTAATCTCTGTCAGTAAGGCTTTTAAATTGCTTATGAGGTTTCTTTGTAAAATGTTTGCTTAAAGCAAAATGTATAAGTGGGAGTACCTGTGTGCTTATTCCAGTGTAGTGGAATATTTTAATGGGAAAGTTGAAATAAGAAACTAAAGGTAGAAAATATCTTCTCATATGTACTTTGGCCTTCAAGGATCTAATGTGGCTACATAGATACATATCAGGCAAGAACCTAATATGGATGGCTATGTCCTGCAGAAAAGGTGCCCAACTTAAAGTTTTTTTACCCCATCACACCCCAAAATATTTCTTTCCTGTCATAATGGCATTCTATTCAACCTAGTTATCTAAACTGGGAATTAAACATTATTTACTAGTTCTCTCTGACATCATTAACTCCTTTGAGCTCGTCTCTAAAACACCTTTGAAATGTCTCCTTTTTCTCTAGTCCCCTTGGCCTTGCACTGCTTGGTCCTGGTGTTTGGAGACTGGTCTTCAGCTGTCCACACACCTGTTCCTTAGGTAGTAACAGAACTTTGCCGATGTTCTTCCTGTCCCTAGAGTGTTCATCGTCTGCTTTTCCACCTGAAAGCTCCAGTTAAAATGTGGTTATAAGGTTACCTTTGTCCATCTCCCCTCTCCACCCCC